CTCCTAGACCTTCATCATGTTCTACCACCTCCTGGGCCATCTCTTGAGTAACTTTAACTGGGTCCATAGGTGTAGGATCAAGAGTGGTGGCGGCTTGGAAAGGGACCATTTAAAGATCGGAGTGTTAGGTCTCTTTCTCCCCTTAGTAAATTAGACTCACTTTGCCATCATTGGAGTCTGCTGATAAGATCATCGTCCATTGGCGCTTATGTGTGCGCCTCCTTTTTTAAGGTATGGGGTCGATCTAGAGAGGGTAGAGGCAGGTTGATCAAGTAGTGATGGCGTCGTCTTTTTTCTCCTCTTAGCCTCAGGAGAGAGAGACGGAGCTCACTTCCTCTTGTCTGGAATATCTCCTCGGTCGGGATGACTGGAGGAGCTCTTCTTGGCCCTGGACTTTTTAGAGATTGGGGGAATAGAAATTTAGGAGGAAGCGTCATCTTGCTCCATCCCCTGGACCACGATCCTCACGGAAGGGGCCGTCGGGGTCTCGGAAGCGGTAGGGGCATTAATGTTGCCTTTCAAAAGGGTTACTAGCGCGTGAGATTGTATCCAATTATAGCCTACACCAAACAAGGCGGGTTTAGTCTAAGGAAACCAAATGAGAAGGATAAAACTAAAATAGATGTAAAAGAAATACTTACTGGTATGGCTCTTTATTATGCGCCGAAAGTGCTAGGGCCACCATTTATTGAAGCAGAGTCAAGCATCTTTATCTATAAGTTCCACCTTGCATTGTCTCTGGGTGGTAAGTAGAATGACTATTTAATTGATAGCCTCTCTATCAAGTAGCTCTACGCTGATTTAGGGGGATAGGCCTCGAGGGATACACCGGCTCAGTCCAAACTGACATGCCACCAGTTAAGGATGATAAGACTCTAAGTATATTCTAGTGTATGGCAGTCACATCTTCTGGTGCCTGAAAGGAAGACCTTGTCCCTTAAAGGGTCGGCAGGCTTGTTCTTCTTCTCCACTATATACTTGTACCAAGTGGGAAGGTGGCGGTTGAAGATGTTGAAAGCTTTTAAGGTCCTCCCCAAGGACTAGCTTTATTAACAGAAGAACTCGAAGAAGTTCTTCAACTCCACCAGCAAACGACCACTTAAGAGATAAGTGAAGGGGTGGTTGGTATGGGAATCATCCGGGAAAGGTTCTTGCCGAAGGTTGGGCAAGTAGGCCGTCGTCCACAACTTTAAAAACCAAATGAGCCCACTGAAGTTGTTGAAGGGCTTCTTAATAAGCAACTCCCTCATACTGTCATAGAGATGACATAGAAACATAGTCCCTAGGGCTTTTTGATTACCACAAAGTAGGACTGGGCTATCTTTAGATGCAGCTGCACGAGCTTTCCTCCCCCGGGGCCAGGATCTATTAGCTTAGTAGGATCTAGATGAAGATTAGGTGCTCCATGATAATGACGGGCTCAAAGGCTGGCTTCTTAGAGAATAGCTCCATAATCTTTGTGTAGGAACCTATGGCCCTGATCTTGCTCTTTAAGTCAATAGGAAGGGCGGTGTAGGAGTCGTGCTTCTCAGGAATTGCATAAAAGTTCTCCTTCTCGGTAATAGGCAGCCTCAAAAATATGAAGACATCTCATAGCATGAGGGACATTGAGCTGAGCTCGAAGATAAAAGCATTGCAGCCCAATGCTTAGAAACTGATGAGGGTCGTCAGAAGGTCCACGAGGATGTCAACATCAATCAGAGACAGTTGAATCAGGTCGTATAGACCCATATGCTTCCACTGAGGTGCATGATTTGACTTCAAACGCCTCACCCAATTGACCCAAGCACGAAGGGACTGGGGCCAATTCTTGAGCTTTTTATAGGATGACTCGAGGAGGGGCGAGGTCATCTGGGCCAAGACTAGATTACTAAGAGAGGTCAATGGCCATGGATTCGGTTGTGTGGGAGCGTTAACGTCGGACAGGTTGGGAGAAATCGTCAGATACCCGATGTCACTTTTATTGGAGATTTGGAAACTCCAAGGCGAAGTGCTGGACAAAAAGGAAGCATAGTTAGAGCATTTTTTAATAAAATAGAAGGGCTAAACATAAGAAGCAAGAAACTTACCAAAAAGCCACTGATTCATGGAATGACGAACTCTCCTGAAAAGAAATGAACGATTATTAGAATAGGAAACCAGTCTAAAGGGAAAAAGGATTTTTTAGACCATGAAATATATACCGTTATGAGCCCGTCTAATTAGTTTATCGGGTTTTGGATAGTCGCCAGAGAATCAGGTAGACTACCAGTTGAAGTAGCAGAAGGCGCGGTGGTAGAAGTAGACGAAGCCATTTGAGAATTAGGGCAGAAGAAATTTTAGCAGACTGAAGACTTAAAGTTCAAGAAATGGCAAAGAAAGCAAGAGAAGTTACCAGAATCTGGAAGTAAGTTTATATCGGTAGAGGGTGCTTAGAAATGAAGCAACGTTTTGATTTTTTCAAACGTGCCACGTGGCTTATGTTACTAGCGATTGGCACGTGGGGGCATTGTTTGGGCTAAATATGAAACATTGTTCAAATAGGTCACAAAGCTAGTTAAGCTGAGTAATTGAAACGTCATGCCCAATATAAACAAAAGAGGCCAACCCCGAAACTCAATAAGGTCCATAACAAATAAACATGCCGAAATCTCATCAGATTCAAATATTAGACTGTTAGCATGAAGATACGATCCTAAATAATGCTGAAATCTACGTCCAAGTAGTTCGGTGAAGCGGGTTGTTCATCAAATTGGAGAGACCATGCTATAAGTTTTGTAGGATTCCTGATTCTTCGATAGAACGTGCTAAGTCTCAAAGAAAAGGCTTTTGCTATCAGACACTATAAATAGAAAGAAGAAAAACAGGGAAATCCAATCAACGCTCGATCAAGACTCGTATATTTTACATTCATTAACCCCTTTTCAATTCTTAGTTTTAGTCTGTAATTTTTACATTTCAATCAAATTACACAATTGTTCTGTCAAAGCCTTTTATCTTTTTATATCTGAGTGAATTGTGGTAAAGGAACTCAGGACCCTTTTCGTTATCTATTGAGACTCAACGTCTCTGACACACCTGGTATTTGTTGTTCAACCACGAACATCGTGTAAGAGCTTATTTGAAAGTTCCAACAATCTAAAGCATTTGTGTTAATAGTAAATCATGTGTATTAAACTGATGACTTAATGGTGTTCGTGCTTGCCAATGATATTGTCTGATCCGTGTCTTATAAATAGACGTGTATGCACGAGCCCAATGCAAAACCTCCAAGTTTTCAAGTAGCTCTCTCTTCATGATCTGCTTCTTGAGTTTCATCCTTCCCCCTTTATTATTTATATTATTTTGTACCATGTTTGTTTTTTAGAATGGTTTATTTAATAATGGAGAGCCGCTACGTTCTATGAGCATGATAGAATAGCTCTCAAGGTCAATGTCGTTGATTACAACTCATCCTGAATTCTACATCTATAGTGCCAACATGATATGCATTTTATCTATGACAATATAAATATGGTGATTTTTTTTAAAGTTATCCTCCTAACAAAAGATTGATTTAAATACAGTTGATCATTTACCTACATCTTACATCACATTTACCATCTAGGTCAATTTAAGCAACTCACATAAACTTTGCTTTGAATCATCTCATAGAAAAGAGTAAATCTTATATTTTATCTCTACTCATATTTCTTAAAATAATTGAAAATTCTTCTTAAAACATTATACACTAATGCTAACATATGAATATATAAAAATATATTTTCATTTTTTCCCAAAAATACACCAGTACATATATTTCCAAATTAAAATATATGAATTATCTTATATATGTATTAGTGAGTTATATTAAAGTATTGATAGACTTGATAATCTTGATCAAGGAATGATTTTTCTACATCAGATAATATTAGGTTCAATTGGTAGTTCTTTCAAAAATATTTTTTTACATTTTCCTATACTTAAAATCTCATATTTAAGATGACCATAACTCAGTGCCTTGTGATTTGCTTTGATTGTTCTGTCACATAAGATGTGAAGAGCATACTAAATGGTGGGCTTCTAATTCTAAAGCCCAATTTAAAAGTGACAGGTTTAAATTGTCACAAATGCATTTGAAAAAACAAATGTCAAATAAAAACAAAAGAAGAAAAAAAATCAATCGTCATTGTTTCCATTTTTAAATTGAGCTTAGTTCTCAGTTCTCAATTCTCAGAGCTTGAGTTGACTTGCCTGCTTAATTTATAATGAATTGGGTCTTACCATCACAAAATATTAAGGCAATCATATGGTGATGATGGTGTGGTCGCAACAATCTAGCCTTTGCCTCGCTCACATGATTATGATTCTCAATCTCTCATTTTTATCAATTATCATCATGATTATCATCATCATCAATCAATCAGTTTTAGAATATTTTATATCTTGAAATTGAATAATATAGTGAACTGTGCATTAATGGTGCTATTCTCATTTTGTCATTTTAAGTTTTTTATACACAAAGCTGTCACTTATTTTCCTTCCTCATGGTGGTTCCACCATATCAATCATTGATCAAATACTCCCTCTGTTTTTATTTCTAGGAGAAAAAAATTATATTATATAGTTTAACAAAATTGATTAACTATATTAATTATAAAAAAAAATTTAGACTATAATATTTTTTATTAATCATGTTAATTAAGTCTTCATTAATTATTTCTTTTGATTGTGAATGATAAAATTATGAAAGATAATTTAAAAAATTTGTAACAAATGTTTATTAAAAATGTGATTTTGTTTATATAAAAAATAAATTAAAAGTAATAATTTTATTTTATAAATAAAAATGGAAGGAGTATATCATTAGTAATAAGAGCATTTCACTAATAAAGAATTTTTTTTCTAATAATATGAAACGTTGATCGATATTTTGAATAGAAGGATCGAGGATGCAAGATCCATTTCATTTTGGCGCACGTTGATGAAACTTTAAAAGCTTGAAATAAAGCACCGGGCGAAAGAAAACAGGACTCGCCCAAACAGAACCTAACGTACAAACCGTATTCATTTTTTGTTTTATCTTCCTTTTCCTTTACATTTTCCTTTCCTTTTTTTTTTAAATATCAGAATTATTAGATTCATGGAATTTACGTTTGATGTTCCTTCATACCGCAATTTCCCAGCGGAGAAAATAACGCTGGAGTTAGATCTCAGAAACGCCTCTTCCCATCACAGGAAGTTCTGAATCCTATTGGAAACTGCAGCATCGCTTTTAGCATTTCGGATGTCATCTCCTAAGCCGTCGTTCCATAGCCTAGCTTCCAGTCAAGGTACTCCTCTCTTCCGTGCATTCCCACCTTGTTATTAATTTTTTTTTTAAATTGGTTTTTGCTTCTCTTGTTTGATCCAGTCTTTGAGAAAACTCAATACGACGGTCGGAAATTCCCGCTCTTTTCCTGGATTCTCGTTCTCAAGAATTTCAAATCAGCAGGCACTGTTCTGTTTGGTCGAGTGGAAAATGCTCAAATACCATAGGGAATTGAAAATATTGGCCGCCTATGCATCTGAAATATTGGCCGCTCTTTTCTTTTCTTTTTTTTTTTTTTAAATATTCACTTTGCGTGGAATCGTGAATTTCGCAATGTATTTCCCCTGGTTGTCAACTAGCGGGGGTGTTCTTGATTTTGATTATTATGTCAGTGGTAATAAATCTCAGTTATTTTTCATCGTGCAGCCTAAGAGGAGTATAACAATGGTGACAGGGACTCAGCTGAGGTGATTGTCTCAGTAACGGTGGGGGGAAACAACGGGGTGGATCGGATTCGGATGGACAAGAGCAAGGGCCGTACCGATCTACTCGCTGCGGGAAGAAAAAAGGTCTATCCACTGCTTATCTACTTTCAAGTATTTTCAATTATCCTCTAAGAACATGAAAATTTTCATTCAAAAGAACCAGTATATATTTAAATTTAACTATGGCTTATTTACAATCATATGGATATCTGTTTAAATGACACTCTAACTCTATTTCCCGTGTAATATTTTTCTGCATTTCATCTAACCAATTTGACTAACATATCTGCTCTGCTGAATATTATATTAGAGCTTAACTCAAGCTTGATAGAAGCATTCGATTTATTGATAGGAGAAACGCAACTATCATTCTTTAACTTCGGGTCATTTGCCAACTCTCTTTCTTAACCCTTGAAAAGGGCGCAACATGCCCCTTGAACTATGACGCTTGAGGACATAGATCCTTTTGGTTCAGTATCCTGTTAAATATGGAACTTGCGCTCTTTCAATTGTCAAGTAGTATGCCACCCCCCAACTATTCTATGAGCTGAGCTCTAACTTCTAACCCTCAAAAGTTCCATTTGGCTTTCGAATCATTGGAAAATGCAGGATTGGAAGGTTCTGTCACAATTGAACTGATCTGTGTCGCAAAATTTGATAGGAGTTCATTTCATGATTGTCAAAATGTGTTCAGGGTTCCTATTGGGAGGTTAGGGATCCAGGCCCTAGGGCTAGGCATCTCATTGCCATGCAGCCCTTATTTTCATGATTTAACCACTCATATTTAGTTGCCGGCTAATGGGGGCCTGCCACTTGACAAATGAAGGTTCTTAAGTGGGATCTATAGTTGAATTGGACAAAAGAACTTTATTCTGAAGGGTGATGCTAATTTAGAAATCTTGTTTTTCATTACAATGTATTTCTGTACTTTTGAACCTTTAAATCAAAATTGAAGGATGCTAATTAATTTATACTTTCAAAAATTATCAAATTCAATTGAATTGCTATAATATTATTACAGTGGAGCGTCCATTTAGTGGAGAGAAGTCATTGGCCTAACTTGAAGGGACATTTTTCAATTCTAGAAGTTAGCCCAAAGTTGAAAATTGGGGCTTGTTATCAATCAATCTGCTTGTTTTAAAAAAATCAGCCTGTAAACTGCAAAAATTTGAAAAAAAAAAAAATTTATATCAAATTGATAGGTTCAGTTTTTTTTTTTTGGGGGGGTAAAAGATACTTCCAATAGTATTGATTAAATGGTTACAGAAGCTTTAAAACCTCGTCAATGATCATTTTAATTAATAGCTTGAACTTTTATTCCGTGAATGTCATAGGCTCATAGCATTCGAGTTTTGTATGGATTACCAAATTATTACTCTTGAAAAAAAATAATAATGATAATGATGATGATGAACTTCATTCAGCTGTTCGTGCTTAAACATTATTTTCATGGGATATGAAAGTATAAGTATATATTTTCTCCTCTTTCCCATGATTCCTTGACTGCAGATGTAAAGAATAGAGGTGAACATTCGCTGTCCTATAATTTGAATTTTTATTGTTATTTTTTCCTTCAGTTTCAGCAATTTCGTCAGAAGAAGGACAGTAAAGGGGGAAGTGGTCACGGAAAATCTTCAAAAAAATCTGTTAAAGCTGGAAACATGAGCCTGACGCTGAAGAAGCTCCTGGTGGCCCTATGTCAACAACATCATCTCAGGTTACCGATGGTAACGTTGAAAGTAATGCAGATTCCAATTTCTGTATCAAAGAGGTTTCAGAATCAGAGTCTTTGGCGGAGTCGTTCACTCTTGACTTCAGTGCTCCATCTGTTAATTCATCATCAGCAACTGATAATGACACAGGTGTTCAATTGCAACTGGCTACTACTACAGTTAGCACTCCAGGCTCAGGTAGTGGATGAACATGATTCTGCGATGTTAGTCCAAAATGAAGAGGAAAGCATCAAGGATGTTGGTATTGACATGTTGGAAGACGTGCCTCTGGGAACTTTTCATGGTCCTGTTTCTGAAGATGGAAAACGCTTGACCATATGCCAAGTCCTTGTTGACACGTTGCCTGTACCTGCTCCAGTAACCACTGCAGCGGGAAAGTCTTCTAGAGTTGAAAGAGAGTGCAGAGATGCAGAGGAATCCTTACTTTTATCAGAGGATATTCCTAATACATCGAGTCAGTTAAAAATGGAGGTGAAAGTACTCAAGATGTTGGCACTGAAATGGTGAAATGGTGTAAAATGGATGATCATATGCCCACAACTGTTGACATGTCGGTACCTGCTCCAGTAACCTCTACAGCGGACAAGGCTTTTAGTGTTGAAATTGAGGGTGAAGATAAGCAGGAGTCTTTGCATGTATATGAGGATATTCCTAGTACATCGTTGACGAAAGTAATGGAAGATCAGGTAACAGATGTAGGTTGTGCTCCTCTCTTTTTTACCTCATTAATTTTAGGCTTTAACTTTGTTTTGATATGGGGGAATTAACTGGGAAGGATGGGTATACGGATGTATAAATTTGATGTATAATTATATTCCCATTTGTTGCTGGGTAGGGGCAATGCAGGAAGCTGATGGTCTGGATAGAAGCAATCTAGTCAAAGCAGTGATATGGAGATTGATAGCCAAAAGAATCTCACTTTGTCTGAGGTTGGTGAGAATGCACAGTCTGTTTCAAGATTTGCTTTGGACGACAATAGAATAGAGGAGGCATCTCATGAAGCAGCCCAAATTGCAAGGCAGTAGTTGAAGTATCTTCATCTCTCGAGGATGTCACATCCAATAAGCGTTCAGCTCTGCTAAAGGGAAGGACAATAAAATTGCAATTGCTGGACATGTCATGAGAAATCTGGAAGGGGAGGCACCGCCAGTTTCACCTCTTAGACTAGTGCCTTTCAGTCCAGTGATGATCAGAGTAGGAAAGAAGTGGTTCTTAGTGGAGAGGAGAGGAGTCTTCTGGAGGGCCTTGACCTGCAAAATTCTCGTTGTTGGACTGCGAATGCTTCTTCCTTCCAGTGATGTGAGTAAGAAGTAGTTTCTAGTGAAGAGGAAAGGGGACTAGATGAGAGGCTTGACCAGCAATATTCTCCTGATCAGTCTGTATACGTGGATAAAAGCCACAGATTGCCAATGGGAGATCAAGGAACAAATTTGACCAGACCATCGATGTCTCTCCAATATGTGATGTGAGCTCAATCAATTCTTGCAGCTGACAGAACTTCTAAGGGGACTTAGTGAAGAAGAATATAACTTTCTGCTTAACTCAAGTAGGACAGTCTCAATGCAAGATCCTATATTCAGTAGTTTAATTCT